GGGGCGTCGGCGGCGCGGAGGAGGCGGCCAGGCCGGCGGCGGCCTGCGAGGGAAGTTTCCTGCCGGCCTGGGTGAGCGGCGTGCCCCGCGAGCGGCTCCGCGACTTCCAGCACCACAAGCGCGTGGGCAACTACCTCATCGGCAGCAGGAAGCTGGGCGAGGGCTCGTTCGCCAAGGTGCGCGAGGGGCTGCACGTGCTGACCGGAGAGAAGGTGAGCCGCCCGGGCGCGGGAGCCGCAGGCGGCGCTGGCGCCGGAGCCCCGGGGCGCGTCCCGGGCCGCGCGCCCCCTGCGCCCGGCTCTCCTCTCCGGGTACAGAGGGGTCGAGCCAGGCGCGCGCTCGGGCCCTGGCGGTGGGTCATCTGGTGTTTACTGATGGGTGGTCTTGGGTCGGTTCCCGACGAGGGTCGCGGTGTGTGGGGGGTGGCGGATTTACCCGGGAAGTTGCCCCGCTTAACCTTTCTGATTTTAGAAGGGCGCCGCCTGGCGGACGCCAGCGCGGGGCTCGTGGCCTAGAGGTTGGGGTGGGGGCTCCACTTTGGCGGGCCTGAGAGGCAGATCTGCAGAGGCAGGAACCAGAGCTGGAGCAGGAGGCCCCTTCTGTGTGTGGGGGGGGGGGACGGGCGGGGCGGTCAGAAGAACCCATTAGCCCGTCTTTGGGGTTGCTTAGAGTTTCCAGGGGTCTGGAGAGAAAGTGTGGGGAAGGCCCACACCCTAGAGCCATTCCTCTCCACCTGGGGGCTGGGGCAGCAAGGGAATGTTTCCTGAACGAGGAGGGTTTCACACACACACGCACACGCACATTGACACTCACACACACACTCTCTCACACACGCACACACACTCACACTCTCTCTCACACACACACACACACACACACACGCGCGCGCACTTTCCCTCCACTCCACCAGTTCGTCCCCTTGATCTGTACTTCTCTCCTTTCACCCTCCCCCACACGCACCCCACTTTCTCCCACATTCTCATCCCCAACCATTCTCATGCCCTTTCCTCCTCCCCCCACTTGCATGTCCCACCAGCCCCTGGGTGGGAGGTGCAATAAAGACTTTGCTTCTGGCAGGTACGGAACTACCTACAAACACCCCCAAACTTTTAGCAGTCAGGAGATGCCTTCTTCTGTTGCTAGAAGAGGGGAAAGCAGAGGAGGACCCCTTTTCCGCAGAGACCTGGAGGGACACTTCGGCTGCCTAGTCAGCAGTCAGATGGCCAGGTGCAGGTAGACCTCAGAGCAACTTAGATCTGTGAGAAGAAGCACAAGCCACGGTGCCTTCCTTTGGAGGCTGGGTCACCCGGGGCAGGGAGGCTGTCCCACACGGGGAGTTGGCTCACACTTGAAGCTGCAGCAGGCTGCCAAGTTCGGATCATCTCAGACTCAAGACTTGACAGACTGGAGGCTCTCACACTGGAACGGGGGGTAGGCTCTCCCTGAGGAGGGAACCAGGGGCTTCCTAACTGAGCAACAGTGGGAGAGATGAGCCTTCTGCCTTCTGCCCAGGACTCTGCCACACTGTGAGACTCGTGTGACCGAGCCACCCTGCCCTCCTTTCCCTTGCCTCATCTGACCTTTGATTTCTCTCCGTTTCCCTGCTTTGTCCTGGAGCCCTCTGCGTTTGGATGCAAATCTACGTCACCCCCACCGTTTGTCTGGTTTCTCTAGCTTTCCCGGTTAGGGTACTCCTTTATTTTAGGTAAGCTGCGTTGTGGTCAATAGTTTGTTAAAGTGCCTCTGGCCTGAATTGCTTTGCAAAAAGGGAGTAGTCAGTGTGAACTCCCTGGAGTAGCTCCTTAAAGAAGCAAACCCCTCTCTCCTCATTCTCGTGCAAAGGGCGTGAGCGAGGGGCACTTTCTTCCTTGTTCACAGCGAGAGCTTCTGCTGTGTGCTTCAGAGTCAGCGGGGTAGGGTTGGTCAGTTAGGGTCATGGAGGCGCAGTGAGCTCACTTGTCCTGTCTGAGCGCAAATAGGTGCTAGAGCTTATTTGCATTTGAAATGTAGAGGGCTAAGGCTGGTTGTGCCCATTTCCTTTCCTGTCTGAAGGTAGCCAGAAGAGGTGAGTCTGTACGCAGACCACACAGTGGCAGACACTAGGAGTCCCTGCATCTTGCCTGCCCCGCTGCACAGCTTCTGTGGGATTCTGTCCACTTCCTGGTGTTGGGCTGTCTCCCAGGCTCCTCAGCCCTGCATTTTTGCTCCATAACATAAAGCTCTTGGCCTGGGCTGAACTGCCTGGGGATTTATTCAGATCTCAGTGCTGACTTCCAGCCTTGGCTTCTGGAGCCCTCTGCACCCACCCCATCTGGAACAGAGGAAATTATCGCCCAGATGCGTTCCAAAGGAGTGTGGTGACCCCCTTGCTGCCCCAACCCCTTCTCCTCCTGTTCTTTCTTAAATGATGAGTCTCATTTCAGGTTTGCATTGGGAAGAGGTTTTAATTGGATACAGAATGATTTCCCTGGGCCAACTGATTTGATCTAGTTAAGGACTGCGGTTCTTAGTGTGGAGGACAGGCCGGGGGAGGATGTTTATGTTGAAAAATTTGGTTTTCCTGCTGTGTATTTCTCTAGCGTGAGAATCAGAGCTCTGGGACTTGCTATTAGCTCAGTCAGTGCGGGCTTTAAAGAAACAATTGTGTCATTCATGGTGTTTATCTCCTGAATCCAACACCTTTAATGCTTAACTAATAGATGTGGGGTGTAGCAGATTGTAGAGATTAAAGTGTGTGTGTGCGCGCGCAGGCGCGCCAGCACGCACACGGGCAGCTGTGCTTGGGAAGGATCACTGGGTTCATTAGCCCACATTCCCACTCTTGTTTTGGGTGTGGCCTTCTTGAGCAGCCTGGAAAGCACCTTCTCCCCACTTCTTCCTCTTTTTTGGGGGTACATACTTTTTGGATAAAGCACTTCACTGTACTCCTTTCCCTTTTTTTTGAAAGGACAGACTACGTGCATGGCAAGGGGAGTGAAGTCATGAATACTGTAGTGAGAAGTAGGTACAGCCTCCCCAGCCCACCCTGGAACGATTCAAGGCACCTTGTCTTGGGAAATCAGTTTATGAAACCGAAAGGGACGATAAGGGGCGCCCCGAGCCTCATTTGTTTCACGGCTGCATTTCCAAACAATACATTTTGTTTTGGGTGACTTGTGCCAAAATCCAGAGTGTTACTGATCGAAGGCGGTTGGTGGTGGTGCACGTTTGTGAGTCTCGTGGGTGTGCGTGCATGCGTGCGTGCTGTGTTCTGTGTTAGTGCACATTTCCAAAATGCTCTGGGAGAAATCCTCTGTGGTTTGCCAGGAATTGCAGACTGAGTGCACATGACAAAGGAGACCCTTTTTCCTAATTTCCATTTCAGGTTTTGATTCTGTCTTACCAAGAGTTTCTTTTTGCCAAAAAGACTGGTATTTCACCTGCTTGTCCTCTGAAGTTGTTTGTTTGGAAGTACTTTGAATCTAGATGACCCTTTCCCTGCTTGAGAGGATGGTTTTAATTTTGTCCTCCTTTGCCTTTGAGTTAGTGCAGTCTTTGTCGATTTGGCTTGAAAGAGAAAGATTCATTTGATTATGTGAAATTTTTAATTGGTAGGTCGTCAGTCAAGGCCTTTCTCATTTGATGTTTAAACTGGGGAAAATGATCACAGAATCAGATTCTGAAAAGTATCACTGTCTATGGCTTTGACACAGAGAGCAAAGTTGGCAGCAGGGATGCAGAGAGTAGTGACTGGGAAAGACCCAGAGAGGTTGCCCCTGACGTGGTTCTTGATACCTGTGACGTCTTTGGTACATAGAAGGTAATTATCACATCTTAAAAAGTTGGTAAATGTAGTTGGAAAAGCTTGGTTGAGAAAAGTGTATCACAGGTATCGAGCTGGTTTGGTAGAAAAGTCAAAAACAAAACAAAACAACCCCCAAAAGCCAAACCCCAAAATACATAAGCAAATAAAAAGCCAAAACTGCATTATAAGAACAAATGGTCACCTGGTGTGGTGGTGCATGCCTATAATCCCAGCACTTTGGAGGCTGAGGCAAGAGGATTGTTGCGAGTTCGAGACCAGCCTGGGCTACAAAGTGAGCTCAAGGCTGGCTTGAACTGCATAGTGAGACCCTGTCTCAAAAAGACCAAATAAGAAAGAAAAAAAATCAAATGGTTGCTACCATCATTACCCTCCTCTGTGATTAAGAGACAAAGCTAGCTACATAAAATGATTGGTTAAGATATTTAAATATCTTGCTCTAAGCCTTGGTTTTTTTAAAAAAAGCATGCTTATCACTTTCATTAGAGCTGTTTGGGGGCTAAAAATAAGGATTGCCTGCTTAGTGAGTTGCCAATAATCTTGGGTAGAACAAGACAGTGCCAGATACCTGGAGTGAAGGAGTTACTAAAAATACCATTTACTATGTTTTGCAGAGCAGGAAATATGACTAATTTTAGAGGTGGCCTTTTGGCAGATCTGTTTTTAGCAAGTATTTCTGAGACAAACAGGTGCTAAATCCTGTATTTCTGAGTGCTAGAAACTTAACGGGTAATAGCTGCGAGGAACAAGAAATGGTTAGAGAACTGGAAATTCCTATTACTCCTCAGCAGGGACTTCTTGGCAAGAAGGAGGCGTTTGCAGAAGCACCTGCTCAGTGTATCTTGTGTGACAAGGCACTGCCTGTAATTTGCCAGATTGCATGCTGCAGTTGCGGGTACATTCTTTTGAACTTCCTGCCCGGCCTCATCTTTTTGAAGTACTTGGGAAGGATGGAAATTGGCACATAGGGCTCAGCTCCTAGTGCCCATTGATATAGCTCCCGTAAACTTCAAAGAGTGCTTTGAGTCAGCACAACTGCGCAGAACGGTGCCCACAACGAGTACAACCCAACATTTTCTCTGCAGGTGTTGAGTCACAGCAATAGGTTTGGTGCTTGTACATACCAATCCGACCTCAGGCTGTGAGGCTATAAAACTCTGCAGATGCTGCCTGTTCTTGGGTAGCACAGCAATCATCTGTCCCAGGGGTGATCGCCCCAGGGGTGATGGGGAGTGGCGGCCACATCCACCCAAAGAGGTGGGCAGGCTGGGTGTTTGCGGGCAGGTGGTTTGGGCATGAAGTATCATTTACCTTGGGATGTTCATCTCTTCATGATTATTCATGGTAACCGAGAGCCTTGCTCTTTTGGCTAATTGCAACCCACTTGATGAGGCTTATTTTAGCCATCTA